CTCAGGCCCACCGTACGTCTCGGCGCAGGTGGGCTATCAATCGGCTTGCCTCCAGACTCTCGCCTGACATGGATACCCTCTTCATTGACTACGAGGCACGGGTGCGCATTTTGGAGGAGCTCGGTTTTCTGGATAAGGAGAAGCGAAGCGGTTGTCTCACGCTTAAGGGTACTTCATTCGACGAACTTTTTTTATTATTTTCTGATTCCCTATATGCGGGGGGGGGAGCGAAGGGGGTTGTACCTCGAAAAAGACTATGACACCTACTGCCTGAGTTTGGCAGAGGCGATTTGTGCATGAATTAGCTGGTGGTAAGGAGCCCTAGGTGGCATCACCTTTACCCTTTCGCAATCCAATCACCAGACATTATCTACAAGAGGACTTGGGATGAGCGTATACATAACGAATGAAACTGTTCCCGAATAAATTAAAAGGTTCGCGTTCCAGGTATCTGTAACTGTATAATGTCTCCGTCTGCGCTTTTCAGAACATGACTAGTCCCCCCCTACTAACGAAAGTAGTCTCTGGTAGTTCATCGGTTGAAAGTGACGAAAGACCACTACTGGCCCAGAAGGATGCAGCGGTGTATTGCTCGTGAGATGGACTTTCGCTGCGTGTTTTTCACTCTCCCACGATAACGCAAATTCAGAAGAACTTGACATGGGCGTCAGCACAGTGGCTGTTGAGAATGGAGACAAATATACGCGCACCACACAGGTGCTGGTCAATAGCCATGCGCTAACATGTCCTCTGTGACGGACATTCTATGCATCTTGTGCATTTGCCTTCAGTCTCCTCAGGCACTGCGCCAGCATCCATCTCAAGCTCACCTGACTCTGTCTTGCTGTTGGAGGTGAGAGGGTGAGGTTCATTATAGACAAACTCATGTCAACTACATCACTGTGTCCTTCCGGACCCACGATTGTCCTCGTTTTTTTTTCAACAGGCGAGCTATCCTCACACTTTGGTGCCTGGGATATAGTTCACTTTAGGGTCCGAAATAGCACGTTTGTTTCCCTAAATTTGTTGTACCTCGAACACTCAAAGACTTCCTCTTTCTGCAGACTTCTTGTTGTGTTCTCTCTGGGGGCTCACATGAGGCGTAGCTAGACGGCGAATACTTCGGCCTGGGCATCCGTTCCAACAATTTGGCGAGGTGCTATCTCGGTCTGGGCCTCCGTTACAACACGAGACGGGGTGTAATAAGGGTTAACCAGGTAGAGGATATTAGGACAAAGAAAAACATTTAATGGTAGAATGTATAAAAGTAGAAGATAACAGGAATCATTATTTAAATAACCGAATATTTGCGCGCGATAATTAAAGTGATCCAATAGTGCCTAATTGGATACAATCCTTGAGTATATATCATCTCTATATAGAGTTTTTTTGGGCCCTAAGTTAAACTTCCACCTGAAAGCAGCTGCGTTTTTGCCTATTCCCAGTTATTGGTCTGAAGGTTTCTGGCCAGTGTCGGACTTGAAATATAAGTGTCGTATTTATTTTTGCGTGTTCCCTCCAAGGCCGGGCCGCCTGCGAACTCCAGCAGATGGAGGTGCTTCTCGCCGAGGTGCTCTTCGAG